AGAGGAATTAGAAAGATTGCAAAGAGACGTTTTTCTTTTGGTTTTAATTTGATTTGGGTGGGTGGGGTTGGGGGGATGCAGCAGACATGAGAGGAGGATATAGAGGGACTGATATGTCAGTGCACTTAGGTTGTATGGTGTGAAATGTCTAAAGAATCAATAAAGAATTACATTATAAATTATAAAAATGTTACTAATTTAATTATAATATAATTTCTCAAACTTCAGAGACATGAACTCAGTTCATTTGTGTTACAATCAAGATAAGAAAATGAATTGAATGAATAGATAAAGTATTGACATTTATTTCCATTTATATTGTTCATACACAACATAATATTACCACACCTCATTTGTGTATCAGTAGCATGTGCCAAAGCAAAGATTTCAAGATGTATGGTAAAGTTACTAGACTTGAAATTAGGAGAAGACTTTCAGTTGTTGGTCTATCAGTTCATTGCAACTTCTGAAATGACAAAGCCCTCCTTATATTAAAAATCAAATGCAGCCTAAATTATAATGTTCTTCCTTTAAATTTCAAGATAAACTGGTAAGTTGTTTTAATTATATATGGCAGGATACAAATTAAGAGGAAATGTATGGATGGTAGGCAAGATTTAGCAGAGGAAATAGAGATCATAAGTAAGACACAAATGGGCATGCCATAATTCACAGGGAAAAGCTCATGAGGTCTCATCACTACACAAAGAACTATAGGCAAGTGAATAAAACTGGGAGTGAGAGGTGGCCATCCCTTGGAAAGAGCACACTAATTCTTTTTTGTCTAATGGCAACTGGTCAACCCTGAAAACACATATTCAAGTAACATTATATGGACTCAACCATGTCTATATAAGGATATGTATGTATGTGCAAATAACTATATGCATTCAATCACAATTGATGAAAAGAGAGGCCATGAATTTGAAGGACAGCAGAGAGGGGTTTAAGGCAGGGTTTAAAGGTAGGAAAGGGAAAGGAGAAATGTTGTAATTAAAACAAAATAGTAAAGATAACAAAACAAAGGATAAAAAATAAATAAGACCTTTAATTGTACTCCAGAATCCACTTACTTCAATGTTTAGCATGAGCTGAGGGATTCTTTAACTTCCTCTAAAAATCTAGCTTTAAAGTTTTAGCAAAACTGAGACTTTGTGTTGAGCAGTTAAAAAGATTCATAACAATCAGTATCAACTACTTCCCAAGACAATTCAAAGTCACATAGAAGTCTCTGATCACAGTCAGTAGATAAAAAAAACCCTAGCTGTATCTGTATCTGTGAATTTTACATTAGCAGAATCAAACACCTGTGCATTGTAGATGTTTACAGGTAGTTTCCTTCAATTATATCATAAACAATATAGTATATCAACTATTTGTATAACATTTATATATTAGGCATTATACGTAATACAGATGTGATTCAAGCTTTTGACAGGATACAAGCAAGATATACACAACTACTGAGCCATTATGCAAAGAACCTAAACTTCTGAAGGTTTGAATCTTGGGATCTGGGAAATAATTCATCTTGGATGTTAAGAGATTATGTTTGAATTGCTAATTTTTACTCTCTCAAATCCATCCTTCACTGACATCAACTGAATATATGTCTTTAAGGTATATGGTCCAAAGTGTTGAATAATTTGTTTCCAGTTAAATGTTTCACAGTATGACATTTCAAAAAAAGGTAAGTTATATGAAACAACTCAGTCTTATAACACAGAAAACATAAATCTATGTGTTGGGACCTGGATTTTGTTTCCCAAACAACACTATATTTTCTTCCTGACAACAAATAAAGATCTGTCTAGAATGGTACTCACACAGGAAGACAAAACATAGTGTTAAGAGCTGTGCAGCCTCATCTTAGATCAGCATATGGAAGCCTGTCAAATTGGTCTTTAGGAGGCAAGACCCATGGAGGATGGTCTCTCACTTGGCAAGGACCAGTGGACTTAGATGAATTCATGCAGCTTTCAGGCTATTTTCTCTGTCATTATATTATTGGTTCTTTGGAAATTATTTAGTTTTACTTTGGAGATCAGTCTGGAAGTTTCCTAAAGTACTAGAAACAGAACTGTCGTATGAGCCAGCTAAACTACAAAGGACATTTATTCAGTATCCTACTACAGAGATATTTACACATCTACATTTGCAGCTGCTGTAGACACAATAGCTAAAAAATTGAATCAATCTAGATTTTCATCAACAGATTAATGAATGGGGAAAATGTGGCACATATATACATATATGAGCCAGCTATACTACAAAGGACATTTAATTCAGAATCCTACTACAGAGATATTTACACATCTACATTTGCAGCTGCTGTAAACACAATAGCTAAAAAATTGAATCAATCTAAATTTTCATCAACAGATTAATGAATGGGGAAAATGTGGCACATATATACATTGATATATTACTCAGCTGTATAGAAAAATGAAATTTGCAGGAAAGGGGATGCAAATGGAAAAAAATCATACTGAAGATGTGACTTAGGCCCAGAAACATAAAACTATATGTTCTCTTTCATAAATTAATCCTAACTTCAAATATTTTGTTTGAGTGCTTAATTTGGAACACATGGAAAAACCAGGAAACTAAAAACATAAATCAATCAATAAAAAGGAGTTTGAACAGATTTACTCTGCATGGTGGACAATGTTGCTCCTAGAAAACAAGTTATTAAATGAAAAAAATTGTAGCAAGGTATGAAATACCTACTTATATTTTATTGGTCACATAGGCCTCAGACAACAAGAGGTACTACCTTGTTTTTGGTCACTCACCATACAAGCATGGCAGGACCTCATTGCTGAAGATAGCACCCATGTTTACTACATGATATATAGAATTCAGTACCAACTGAATGGGGAAAGTTACTCCTTATTGATTGGTTTTAATGAGGGTGGAAGGGGCTAAAAAAGCTTTTGGGTGAGAAAAGACATTATGGTCTTAATTAGCATGGTACCTTGAATGCTGCAATACTGACTTGCCAGGGAAGCTGTACCAGTGATGCAATGGTGGCATGACTGTATTTATATGACCAGATCAGATTTGAGGTTGTGCCACAGGAAAGAATTTCATGCACAGTACTGTAATTCTGCTTCAAAAGGATCTGGCAGGAGAGGTCATAAGCCCCAGGATAGAACCTGATACTGTAATTTTGATAAATGGTTATGTTTTCAAAGTGCTTTATAGTTATCTGTTTACACCCAAACACTGAGGCTGTAGTCAATTTTGGTCAAAAGTCAGTGGAGAGATGTATAACTAATTCAAGTGCTAAGAATTCTCAAGCTTAATGGGGCATCTGTATTAACTCTCTACCCTCAAGACCTAAGGAACATCACTAAAGAGAAGGCAGAATAAATGTAATAGCCAGAGGATAGGGAGGAGAGCTGATGAATATCTTCTGTACATAACATGGCTGCCTATCATACTCATGAACTCTCAGCACCTGGGGCTACCTACACAAGATCTGAATAATATCAAGCCAAGCAAAGATTCAGTATAAATGGAGTAGATAATCTTCAGACTTTGCCCCTTACCAGGAGCTGTTAGAAATTATAGTTGCTGGAGGAGGAGGAATAACTCATCTTTGAAGAAATGGATACTTGTAGCATGACCATGGTCCACTGAATAATTCCACACCCATATACTTGTGGGCAGCACTAACTGACTTAGAAGTTTATAAAAAATAAATAAAGAGAAAAGATATGAGACTGTGAGAAGGATTTGTTGTGGGTGTAGAGGATGTACTAAAGTGGAAATGGGGTAGATATGATCTTATTTCAGCTTCTACATGTGTGAAATTCTCAATAATAAAAAATAAACTCTAAGTTAAAACACTATTTTCAAGCAAATGCCAGGTAGTATTCTCAGTCCCTTTCATAAAGGATTTTATATTCTTAATGATCATATGAAACTAACAATGCATAATCAGAACTTTTTAAAGGGCATAGTGTGTATTCTTTAATTCACACAAGAATCTTACGTGTCAAGTACAATTGTACCATTTTATCTACAGAGGAAAATAACAATGAGAAACTTTAAAGTCTACTCCAGAATTTTCTTTCAGCAAGTGGCAGAATTTGGTTTAGATCAAGATAGTTTGACTGTAGGTCCTGTAGTGTTAACTATTTTAAAGTTGTATTATAAGACTTGAAACAATAAATAATATACAAGATACAATAAAAGAAACACCAAGTTATGCCAAGGTTCTGGCAAGGAATAATACAGGAGAAGTGGCATGAGTTTCCTTTAAGGATCCAGGAAAGAATATGCTAGCTCAAAAGAGTTAGCACTACTGTTTTATTTCCTGTATTCCATAATATTGAGCTTCACATTTATAAGTATTAAATACAACATAGCAAAGAGCATATGAAATAATTAAGAAAATGTAAGCCTATTAATGATTTTTAAACACTTGCATTCTCTCAATACCTATATAGTCCACCTGATTATATAAAAGTAAGATTCCCCCTGAAGTTATTTCTTAGTGAATACTGAAATATTGTAAATAGTTTAGATACTGCTCTTTGTATCTTGTAGAATATCTGTGCTTTGGTCAGTATCTGACAATCACAGATCAAACAGCAAGATGCTTAGATCCCCAAAACTATGATTTATAATTCTTGGATCTTTGAAATCTTATGTATAAATTTAAGATTCCATATTTGCAGGATCTACTTCTTTAAAACTCACAGCCAACATATTCTTGGAAGAAATCCAGTGAAATATGGCTTACCTTTAAATCCTGAGAGCTTTAAATGAATTGCCTCAGATGAAGAGTCAGAGCCAAAAAACTGTTAAAAGGATGATTCCCATGGATAGTACACAGTTTAATACGAGAAAGAAATTAAGCTGTTGTAAGCTCAGAAAGTGTTGAAAGATGTTGTTTTCCCTAAGGCCTCTTTGCTGTTTTTCTGCTTTAAAAATGTCCCTTGAATATAACTTCCCCAGGGTGATAATTATAAGACTTTAGAAACATCTCAATGTTTTGCACATTGATAACAGTCACTACTACTCAATTATTAACTATAGACTGGGTTTTCCAATCTACTGGTGAGCTAAATAAGCAGTGTGAAAGCTGAAGACATTTTGTGCCTTAGATGTTTAAGTGAATATCAAACTCATGACAATCAATACATTATTCTCCTAGAAAGTGATATCTTGGTAGCTAACAAGTCCTTTGCACAGAACAAGTATTTATCAGTCATTGTTTCCATACAGTGGGAAACTTAAAATAATGAGAGAGATGGTATTTCTAAGTCTCTCTGAGAATAATGTAAGACTTGAGGAGGCAGTTGTGTCTGGTTCTTCCACAAACTAACAGTATTATCCTGAGCTAATTTTTTTCATATTTCTGATCTGTATTACATGTCAAAACAGAAAATATTAAAAGTGACTACTCAAATTTGTTTAATGTCTAACTATATGCTCTAAGGAAAGCTAATGTTCTTTGAATACCAGATTACATGTTTTTATAAATCATAGAAGCAGAAACAATAAAATCATGAACACTTGGTCAGAATACTCATATTTTTAGAAGATTTAATAAGAGGGCAACTAATTAAAATGCTAGCTAAGTTATAAAAGCTCAGTAATGACATTTATGAAAATTAGTTTACATAAATGTAAATTAAGACAGTCATCACCCTGACTCTTACATAACATTTAGTAGTTCATCACTGTGTAAAAATGACAGTTATCCTGTTATGACAATTATTTTTCTACATGTTAGAAAAAAATCAATGTTTCTTCTACAAAATTTTATTAAAATATCCTAAGTAAAATCATGATCACTTCTATTATATTAGTTCCTTTTCTTTCTTTCTTTCTTTCTTGCTTGCTTGCTTGCTTGCTTGCTTTTTTTTTTTTCTTCGAGACAGGGTTTCTCTGTGTAGCTTTGGCGCCTGTCCTGGCACTGGCTCTGTAGACCAGGCTCACAGAGATCCGCTTGCCTCTGCCTCCCGAGTGTTGGGATTAAAGGCATGCGCCACTAGCCACTATTTCCTTTTCTATTAGGAAATCCAGAGAGTAATCAGGTCATACTCATACTCCAAAAACCTGTAATCCTCAGAATTCAAAAATCTAAAGGAAATGGACAATTTTCTGGATGGATTTTACTTACCAAAATTAAATCAAGAACAGATAACTTAAATAGACCTATAACCCCTAATGAAATAGAAGCAGTCATCAAAAGTCTCCCAACCAAAAAAAAAAAAAAAAGCCCAGGGCCAGATGGCTCCTAATGTGGGAAATTCCCAATACAAAGCCAGGTAAAAATACAAGGGAATTTAATAGGAAAAAGCCTTACTTACAGAGCGACCTAGCCAGCAGCAGTCTGTACAGCAAGCTGAAAATGAAAATTAAAGCAGCCTGCCACCTCACTTTACATCACTCAGACTTTGCCCTTTCAAGTGTGGTCAGACATACGTGTTGGCATGGCTACAGCATCCCCTACAGGCTCCAGTGCAGAATTCTACCAAAAATTCAAGAAACAGAAAATACCAATTCTCCTCAAAGTATTCTACACAATATAAGCAGAAGGGTCATTACCAAACTCTTTTCATGAGGCTTCAATAAACTTGATACTCAAGCCACACAAAGACACAACTAATAAAGAGAACTACAGACCAATATCCCTCATAAACACTGATGCAAAGATACTCAATAAAATACTGGCAAATCGAATCCAAGAAAAGGAGAGCTCTAATTCAAATAATTTTTTAAAAGAAAGAAAGAAAGAAAGAAAGAAAGAAAGAAAGAAAGAAAGAAAGAAAGAAAGAGAAAATGAATTGTGAAAAAAGAATTGACTTGAGTTGGGAAAGTTGTAACGGGAAACTGGAACGCTAGTAGAGAAAAATAATATAGGACATGTAAATAACAGGTATTGAAACACAGAGAGAATTAATTCCGTGTGTTCTACATCCCAATGGGCCATAATATTTTATGGCATATTTCAAAGAGATCTAAAAATCCCATAGAAAAATAAGGAAAAAGTAAACATTGTCTCCATAATTGGATGAGGGCATAAACCATGCAGATATCAAAATAAAAGATTTCATTTTATGTCTATAAATAATTAATACATATTTCATTAATAATGACACATTAATTGAAAAGCATTATCAAATTTGATTGGTATAAAATACAAAGATATGTCAAGGCAAGAGCTAGACCAAAAGTGAGTATTATTCTTTTTTATGAAATGACAAAGTCTACTGTTTGAATATATCTCATCTCCATTTACTATTTTTCTGTCATGCTAACATTTGAGACAGTTCCCATGTGTGTATATCTGTAGCCTTCACTCCTGGCTTATGATAAGCTGGCAGATATTTTCATTCATGTGACACCAATCTATGGGTCTCAGCAAATTTCTTTTTTTCTTTTTATTATTTTTTATATTTTTATTAAATGTATTATTCTAAGACTACTTTTTTCCCAAGAGATTATTTTTATCAATTCAAATTAGAAACATTAGAAACAAGCTTGCTTCACATGTCAAATCATCCTCCCTCTTCCTCCCCTACCCCCCCATCTCCCACCAGCCTCCCACGTCATTCCCCCTCTGTTCCCCAGGGAGGATAAGGCCCTCCATGGGGGTTCCCCAAAGTCTGTCATATCATCCTGGGCAGGGTCTAGGCCCTCCCCCATGTGTTCAGGCTGAAGAGCATCCTTCAATGTGGGATGGGCTCCCAAAGTCCTTTCTTATGCCAGGGGTAAATAGTGATCCACTACCAGGGGTCCCATAGAGTGCTGAGTCCTCCTCATTGACATCCACAGGAGCCATTATAGGTTTGAGGAGAGATCTGGAACTAGGGAGATTTCCAGAGATCTACAAGGATGACACCAACTGACAATCTAGGCAATGGTGGAGAGGCTACCGTAAATGCTCTTCCCCTATAATGAGACTGATGACTGCCTTGTATGCCATCCTAGAGCTCTCATCCAAAGGCTGATGGAAGCAGAGGCAGACACCCACAGCTAAACACTGAACTGAACTCTGGAACCCAGTTGCAGAAAGGGAGGAGTGAAGAGCAAAGAGGTCGGGACCAGGCTGGTGAAGCCCACAGAAATAGCTGACCTGAACAAGGGGGAGCGCATGGACCCCAGACTGATGTCTGGCAGGCCAGTACGGGACTGACTCAGTGAATTTCTTAATTAAGGTTGCTGTTGCTGTGATAAAGCACCAGGGCCAAAAGCAACTTGGGTAGGTGTGGTGATATTTTGTTTGTGCTGAAGATCAGAGGATGGAGCTAGCCACTAATTAACCATAGATCCCTGGCAGTGGTGGTACATACCTTTAATCCTATCACTTGGGAGGTGAAAGCAGGAAGATCAGGAGTTCAAGGCCACACTGGGCTACATGAGATTTAACCAGTCTAAAAGAGAAACAGCTCTCACCTTTAATCCCAGCACTAGCAAGGTGGAGACAGGCAGTGATATGGCTGGGTGGTGAGAGGAATATAAGGCAAAGGACACAGGAGCTCAGCCCCTTTCAGTCTGAGGATTTTGCAGATGTAAGAACTTTAGTGGCTGGCTGCTTTACTTCTCTGATTTTTCAGCTTTTACCTCCTAATATCTGACTTCAGGCTTTTATTATTAAGACCAATTAGATTTTTGAAAGAGTGAGGAAACAACTTATCTTACAGCCTGTAGTCTATCACTGGAGGAAGTTGGAGCAGGTACTCAAGGCAGAAACCTGGAGACAGAAACTAATGCAGAGTATGTAGAGAAGTGCTGCTTACTGGCTTACTCTTTATGGCCTATGCAGGCTGCTTTCTAGGAGCACTCAGGACCACCAGCCCAAGGGTGGCACAGCCTACATGAGGAGTAAGGCTTTCAATCAAAGCGCACCACAGGTTGGCCCACAGTCCAGTCCACTGGGGTATGTTCTCTTAATTGAGTTTCCTCTTCACAGGTAAGTCTATTTTGTCATCTTGACAAACAACTACAAAAGCAACCAGGTGAGTGAGCTATACTACTCCCTTTAAGGAGAATCTCAAGGAGACCATTTGTTCATGGTTACTTTCCTGTACATGTTAAGCATTTCCCACAATTTAGAGCCATAAATAATCCAAAAATGGGAAAATTAATCAAAATTACTTTCAATCTTTTTGTTTCAATTTTCTTTTTAGCTGTATCAGAAAACCACAGTTTAAGTTTTGGTAGGTAGACAAATGCTGATAGTCACCACATTGCTGTTTAGTAATTAAAGGACTTATAAGTAAATATGATTTACATTTCCATTGTATATATTCATAAAAGTTGGTGTGTTGATAAATAGTTTATAATTACTTACTTTATAATTATTCCAGCCTGTCCAGTCTTCTCTGCTTGACTTCTACTCTGTATTAGTCTAATTATTCTACATTTAATTCTTTGCCCAGAATTCAATAAAATGAAAAACATGCACTATAAATAATAAAACTGGTGTTCAATTTATCAGAAAAAAAAATTGCCTTGTGTAAACACTTGTGCTTACAACAGTCTGAAACATGGATATTTTGATGGAACAGAAAACTTTACATTTTGTTAAAGGCTTTTGAAAGCAATTTCTAAGCAACATTTGAACTTAGTTTCAAAGGCTCTTTTAGAATTAACTGTGTCAGTTTGTAGACAATAAGACTAAATTGCTCTCAGTTTAAAAACAAAGATAAATTTGCTAACATCTTGGGAGAATGTGACTAGAGAGAAGGTTCAGTGGTTCAAAATACTTGTCACTCTTGCACAGGGTTCAGGTTCACTGCCCAGCATCCATGTGGCAGTTCACAAACATCTGTAACTGCTAGTACAGGGGATCCATCTTCTGGCCTCTGGCCATTAGGCACATGCTTGGCACACAGACATAGATGTAGACAAAAATCATCATACACGTTAAATAGATAAATTACATATATAAAATATATATATATACATATATATATACATATATATATATGTATATATGAAGTAGACTATCATGGGAGAAGACTTATGATGATCAAAAACAGAAATGAGCCCTTTTTAAAAATTACATAAAATATCTTTGGTATCTGGAAATGTAGATATTACATGACAGTACTAAATGTATTTAAAATAATATTATCCCACCATCTTGATGCTAAGTTGAAAATGCAGTGATTAAAACTTCATGGCATCTAATAAATGCCAATATCTGACATATTTACAATCCATCAAAAATGGAATGTAATTTCAGACAATTATCAGAACACTGGTTTCATATTTTCAAATGTACCAATTTTTATATAGCTGAAGAAAATAACTCTGCCGTTATTTAAAAAATGGTTAACTGTGGAACAATTGTCCACAGCCAAAAATTTATGATTATTAACTCTAAAACACACATTGATTCACTACACTTGTTTTACTTTCTCATATTTTTGTTTTAAAATGCATCTAACCTCTTGCATTTATTCAAACAATAAACATCACCACCACTACATCACATGTCTATTCATCTACCATAACATTGTTGTTCTGTGCAAACTTGTTACTATAGCACTTTGGTATTAAACTGAAGCCAGAGTAGTAAAAAGGCCATTGTAAAAGGAGAACCCTTACAACAGCAGCAGCAAGGAGGGGAACTTAAAATAGGAATATCCTTTAGGAAATAATGAATCTCCAGAAATTTAAGAAAAATTACCATGGTGGCTTTTTACTATATGACGAAACAAACTGTATGTAAAAGTATCAAATACCCAAATTATTCTAGAACACAAAATGAGTTAGCTGTCAGTGGCAAATGTGCTTGACTAGTATTGGCACAGTTCTTCATTGTGGAGAGATTGGAAAATCCCACAGCAACAAGTTCACTTTGATTACACTTGGCTCACTCTTTTTTCATGGTTCCCAATCACAGCCACTGAATATCTTCCAGTAACAGAAATACTGAAAAGACGAAAAGTAATATTTGATATTACTGTAATTTATACCTTTAACATTACTTTCATCTTTACAAATCTAAAACATAGTAGAGAAGACTCATTTAATGAAACTTTAAATAATATTAATCTTTTGTTTTTTACTGGTAAAAGTCTAGAATTAAAGATTTCCAAATGTTTTCATATCTTGTGACTAAAAACACAAATACAAGAATGTTTTAGGTGTTAGTTTCTTGTTTCTCAGTTCTAGAATGTAGCGTTATTCAAACAATGGACTTTATAAATTACTTACCAGGCACTTGTTATGTAAACTTGAAAGTCGAGACTGGGTTTAAAGAGACGCTATTTAATAGAAACCTTTTTCTCTGAGTTGTTTTGAACAGTGAAGGATGAAGACTAATGACTTGCTTAAAAATGTTTACTATGCAAAGCCAGTTGCTATTTTAAGTTTAAAAGACTCAAGAGAAGGAGCAATGGATTTGGTTAAAATAGTAGGTAGAATAAAATACAATAAAAGAATACATCTACTCTGAACTTAGTGCTCTGAAGTAGTTGTGATCTGCAGTGAAAGCCCTTTGTTTTCACTCTCAGAGCTCCCGGTTGGGAAAGAGAAGGAAACAACAGAGGCCAATTCAGGGCTACACGCCCCCAGAGTCTATCCAAGGAACAGCTCCACAACTGCAAAGGCAAGTGCATGTCCCCTGTGAGGGAGAAATGGGAGAGGAAATGTGGCCCAAAAAAACGCAGAACAAATTTTACTCCTTAAATGATGCTGTACCATCCTGAGACAAGTCAAAATATCTGCCACCGAATCACCCCTGTGATTGTAATAATGTCTATTTCCAAATAAAAACTAGCTTCAGAGTCTTTTGAATTCTCACATTGACAAAATGTATCCTGGGATGTGGTTCCTGCTTTTATTCCTAGGTTTCACATCTGATTACTGATGTGACAAAATAAGTTGAAGTTAAACTTCAACTCCCGTTTTATAAGATATACCAAATTTTTATTAGTCTCCTGTGTGAATATCTCAAGTATACATATTGTTTAGTACAGAAGAAAGATCTTGACCAGGGATTTTTATGTCAGTCTACTTCAGGAATGAAAGCCAGCACAGCCCAAATGGCATGTTTTTATGGGAAACAGTCACAACATGGCAAACCACCCAGAGGCAGCTAAACATTTTAAAACATCAGTGCAATAAACAAAGAAAAAAGATCCCTAAATTCCTAGATTGCATCCTCATCCTTGCAGACAAAAAAGTGATCTGTAGCCTTTTAGCATGCTCCCATGTTTCTCTCCTACAGGACACTGAAGATTTGTGTTCTAGTAAAACAGCATTATGGAGTTGCTGCAAGCAGTCATAGGACAATGCTGAAACAAATGTATCATTATAAAAACAACAACAAACAAACAAACAAACAGAGGGATTAGGAGACATATCATCCTGTTCATTTCACTAAAGTGCAGAACACTAAGTTTGCTGTCTTGAAAAATGAATCCGGGAATTCAATAATGATCAACTTGATTTCACATTCCTCTTTCCTTTCTCTCTACTTCCAAGTAGAAATGGGAGGTACCAGGACACTGGGAATATAATCCATAAACATTATACTCTCAGGACAGGAACCAACATGGAGAAAAGAGGTCTTCTGTGAGTACACTGAAAAAAGCCAACACAGCACCTGCATTTTCAAAGGCATTCCATTCATTATCTCTAGTTACAATTGTTATTTTTAAGGTATTGCCAATTTGGCTGCTGAAAATCAATTAAAGATATTTCATAAAAATAAATATGTAATAAATAATTCCTAGGAACAAAATTTATGAATTGGTAGAATCTGTGTCTATGATGTGTGAAAGTAAACACACTAAACAGTGTACAGACAATAGTGAAAAAACATATGACCTCCATTATATGTGGCACAAAAATTATGTGCTTGGGGAAGGACGTGAACTGAGTGGATCTTACCAATACTTCCTGGGCTCTGGCAATAGTAGATCTAAAGAGAAAGTATATATCCCCCATTTCTTTTGAAAGATTTTAGTTCACAAAGAGAAAAGTTTCCCACAGGCCTTGGCCCATTACAAGGAAGTTGGCCCCGACCCCGGGCACATCCTATGAGTCCAGCCCTGGGAGACGCCCCCCGGATAATGCGTGGGCTAGGGCAAGCAGGAAACCCTTGTCCCTGGGAGCAGTCAATGAAAGTCTCTGCCCCAGTCTGAATCTTCGGTTTCGGTTTGGCACCAATCTGTAGCCACGTGGTCTCTGTTGTTTGGCCTGACTGTCTGTCTCAGTGTTTGTCTTTTTGTCTTTTTTGTTTTTCACCATCTGACTGCCATGGGGCAACAACTAATGACCCTCTTAAGTTTGACTCTAAACCACTGGGGAGACGTTCGGGACCGAGCCAATCAGAAAAAATGTCAAACTCTCTGCAATTCTGAGTGCCCAACATTTAATGTTGGCTGGCCTCGGGACGGTTCTTTTAATCTTGAGATTATTTTACAGATAAAAGAAATGGTGTTCAATTCTAGGCCCCATGGACACCCAGACCAGATTCCCTACATCATAACCTGGGAAGACCTGGCCCGCAACCCTCCACCCTGGGCTGCCCTTTCATTGTCCCCACGACTCAGTCGGAACTCAGTCCAAAGCCCTCTCCCATTCCTCTCATCCCTTTACCACCACCCTCCGCCCCAACAGCACCTCCCACCAAACCCTCCCTATACCCTCTAGAGGAACTTAAGGAGGCTCAGAGGAAGCCTCCTGTTCTTCCCCGGATCCATACCCTGACCTTCTTTCCTTTGATCTTCCTCCCTCTTATCCTCCCCCTCCTCTGGCCCAGGCCTCCAGTGCGCCCCAGGCGCCATCACATGAGGGCACACAGGAGCCAGTTCCTCAGATTTCCTCTTCCCCTGATTCCATGACCCTGACTGATACCGGGTCTCAATCAGCCCCCATGCAAACCCGTCTTCGCCTCCGAAGAATGGGCGGAAAACTCAGGGGAAGCCGCCTCATGGTCAGCTCAGCTCTTCCCTTTAAGATCAGTGGGTAACCAAACACAATACTGTCCATTCTCTGCCTCAGATCTTTACAACTGGAAAACTCATAACCCTTCCTTTTCTCAAGACCCCCAGGCTCTGACTGGACTCATTGAGTCCATTCTAATGACCCATCAGCCGACATGGGATGATTGCCTCACTACGGAGGAGAGACAGAAAGTTTTCCTAGAGGCACACAAGAACGTGCCAGGGCCAAATGGGGCCCTCACCCAGCTCCCTAATGAGATTGATGCCGATTTCCCGCTGAATAGACCTAATTGGGACTACACCTCCCCTGCCGGTAGGGAACAACTCTGTCTTTATTGTCAGGTTCTCCTTGCGGGTCTCAGGGTCGCCGGGAGACACCCAACCAATTTGGTCAAGGTAAGAGCAATTACCCAGGGAGGGGAAAAAACCCCTTCAGCATACCTAGAAAGATTGATGGAGGCATACTTTATGTATACTCCCTTTGACCCTGCAAGTCCAGAACACCGGGGAGAGATCATTATGGCCTTCATAGGGCAGTCAGCCCCAGACATTCTAACAAAGTTACAACGCTTGGAGGGGCTACAAGACTATACCCTCCAGGACCTAATGAAAGAGGCAAAAAAGATTTGCAATAAGACAGAAACTCTGGAAGAGAAAGAGGAGAGGCTCAGAAAGATGCAGGAGGAAAAGGAAGAGAGGGTCAGAAAGGAACAGGAAAAAGAAAGAGGAAAAGCGAGACAGAAAGCAGACTAAGGAACTGAGCAGAATTTTGGCCACTATAGTACAGCCCAGGCCAGAGTCAGGGAAGCAAGGAAGGTTCCTGGGAGACAGAAGGCACCCCCGGGTAGATCACAACCAATGTGCCTATTGTAAGGAAAAAGGCCATTGGGTCAAAGATTGCCCAAAGAAAGATCAAAGAAGATGCCCAACTCAGATTCTCTCCCTGGAAGATTAGGGAAATCAGGGCCAGGAGCCCTGAGCCCCCGCTAACTCTTACGATAGGGGGCAACCCGTGACTTTTCTGGTCGACACTGGGGCCCAACATTCAGTGTTAACCAGAGCCCCTGGACCCATAAGCAATAAAGCTTCATGGGTACAAGGAGCCATGGGAGGAAAATTATATAAATGGACCACCGAATTGCAAACTACATTTGGTTACAGGTAAAGTTACACATTCCTTCCTGCATGTACCAGACTGTCCCTACCCCCTGCTGGGGAGGGACTTACTCTCTAAATTGGGAGCCCAGATTCAATTCCATAGATAAGGGGCTACAGTCACTGGCCCAGATGGGGCCCCCTTTCATGTCCTGACTCTAAGACTAGAGGATGAATATAAACTACTAGAAGAGCCACCCCAGTGAGACATTCAGAAATGGCTTGAGACATACCCCCAAGCCTGGGCAGAAACT